AATGACACCTAACAACAGCTGCCTTTTTAAGCTTTATATCTACATACAAACTAAATCTTACACTCATCCAGATTTATTTTTATATCAGTTTTGGAAATGGTCCCCACTATATTTGATGTTATACCCTAACAGGAAAAATAAGGGCTTAAGTTCTGTTAACCATTTTTTTTTTTTTTTTAAATAAAAAAGGAATGATGTACTTACATTTACTTATCAAAGCATTTTGATGGAATGTTGTTAAGTGCCTTGTATAGTGCTATCAAGGAGCAGCTGGTGTGTTTGAACCAACAACTTTGTGGTCAGCAGTCTAGTGTTTATTCTAAAGAGCTTCACTAGGACTCCTGTGATATAACAGTGAGTAACAAAGCTAAGTTTTGTGCAGAAAACATAAACTTCAATTTCAGTACTCAAACTTCGCATTTAATATTCACATTCAGGCCCCGCCCTCCTTTACTATAAAAAAATGCTATAATTATCCATCTAGTAAATAAAACTTTTTGGACATCCTTATTCTTTCCATTCAGTAAATTACTAGAGGGTAAAATTTCCAAAGTGCTATGAATAATTGGTACTGCCTACTGTGACTCACTGCAACCCTGCTGCCAGAGTAGAGCTGCTCAGTAATTTCCAATGCTGTAATGGGACCGACTCCACGGCACATAACAATATTTATAGAAGCAGACTGACCTTTACGTTAGTAGCTGAGTGCTTTAACCACTGTGCCACCAGAGTTCCTTCTTAAATCACTGAGAGTAACTAAACTTAGTGCTATTATAAAAAAAAAAATTAGGAGTAACAAAAGATCGATATGTTACAAGTGAAATCCTTACCTGTATATCAAGAGGAGTAAATAAATGTATAACTGAAAAGTTGATAAATCAGGTGTAGCATATACACTTGGTCTGAAGATATTACTTAGACAAAAGGGTGGAATCACAAGAAATTAAAATAGAAATGGTTAACTAGGCAGGAAAAGGACTGGGGCTTTATATTATAGGGCTTGTCACCCTTTTTTGATATAAAATTTTAAATTAAAATGTATTTTATCAAATTATAATCCAGAAAAAAAATTAAACTTTTGAGGGAATTTTTGATGACCCTGAATTATTCCAGTAATTTTATGTTTTTTTTTTCTTCTAATTGTTACTATGTTGTTAAGTGCCATAGAGCTGGTTCAACTCATAGCAACTCTGGATAGTGTTTCTAAGGAACAGCTGGTGGGTTTGAACCACCAACTTTGTGGCTAGCAGTTACTATGTTGTCCTGTGTGGACCTTACAGTGCCACACCATATTTAGTCCTTTCAGATGGAATGTTGTTAAGTGTGTTAGAAAAACATGAGTCCATTTTTTCAATGGACTTTTTGAAGTCCCCTCATATGGTGTATGTTATGAATTGTGTTCCCTCAAAATGTGTGTTGCAAATCATAACCTCAATACTTCTGGAAGAGCCCCAAATATTCACTGGGCTGCTAACCAAAAGGTCAGTGGTTCGAGAAAGATGCAGCAGTCTGCTTAAGTGAAGATTTACAGCCTAGAACATTCTATTTCTATTCTCAAGGATGGAGTCTGATGTGGCACTGTGGTTTAGTGTGCTGGACTGCAAAATTGTTTTGAACTGCAAGGTCATTGGTTCAAGGTCACCAACTACTCCTCAGAAACCCTATACAGTGTACCTATGGGTCGGAGCCAACTCAACAACAATTAACAACAACTCTACAGAACTGCTCGGAGTTGGAATCAACTGGACTTGGCAGTGAGTGTTTTGGTATTTCTGTGATTATAACCCCATTTGGAAATGGGTTGTCTTGTTATGTAAATGAAGAAATCTTAGTATGGGATGTGTTGAGTCAATTCAATCTATTTTGAAATATAAATGAGATTAGATGGGCAGGCAACAAGCAGAGATGGAGAAGACTGGTACCAGGTCACATGGAGATATATACAAAGAACCAGGAAACAAGTTAGAAATAAGAAATCCTCCTCCATCCTCCAGAGTTGACAGAGAAAAAGCCTTTTCCTAGAGTACATACTCTATGGAATTCAAGCCTGCTAAACTGAGAAAGAAATTTAAGTCAAAGTCATCCACTTGTCATATTTCTATTATAGTTGTTGTTGTTAAGTGCTGCCGAGTCGGTTCTGACCCATAGCAACCCTGTATAGGGTTTTCGAGGAGTAGCTGGTGAGCCTGAACCGCCGACCTTGCAGTTCAAACGGCTTTGCAGTCCAGTGCATTGATCCACAACGCCACACCAGGACTCCTCTGTTACAGTAGTAGTTGTTAGTGTCAGTGAGCTTGATCCATCAACCTTGCAGTTCAAACCAACTTTGTAGTCCAGCACATTAACCCACAGCGCCACTCCAGGACTCCATTATAGTAGTAGTAGGTAACTAAGATAGTAAAAGATAAGAAATATGTGAGGAAATTGAGGTAGAAGGCAAACAAGTTTAGGAAAAATAAGATGAGGCAAAGAACCAAAGAATTCAATGGAAATTTAGGGATGCGCTGCAGGGTAAGCACTGGATAGCTAATTGCAAGGTCAGGGGTTCAAACCCACCAGCTGCTTCTTGGAAAGCCTATACTGGGTTACCATGAGTTGGAACTGACTCAATGGCATTTGATAACAAGTTAAGAATGAAGATCCTTGCCCCTATCCCAGACCTGCTAAATCAAGAATTTCTAGTGAAAAGCTTTGAAATCTCCTTTTTAGTAGGTGATGCCTTAAAGTCCTAAAATAATTAAAAGAAAATAAAGGGATAAACAAACTTTGGTACAGATAACAAAATGAATCTGTGAAACACCTCATAACTTGTATGAGACCATTATTGTAAAAACTTTAGAAAGAAACATTCTTTGATAGTTATCTGAGGTGGGAGGGAGGGGAGAGTAATTCACAGGCTAGAGGGTAGACACATGTGAATTTGGGTGATGGGGAAGGCAGTATAAACACAGGGGAACACAATATACAAGAAGAGGGAGGGGAGCAGAAGTATGATGAAGACAGGCAAAGACATGAAGACACGGGTATATACAAGGGCTAAAGGGACAGAGATAAATAGTGATACAGACACACACAACCTTGGAACAATAGTGTGAAAGAAGGTATTTGTACCTTATTTACCTTTTCTGCAAACACCACTGTGAATGTGGTGGTGCATACACTAGGCATCTTAAGGCAATAAGTAGCTGAGCCTGGGGGCTCAGGACCACAGTCTCAGGGGACACCATGATCAACTGGCACAACATAGTACTCAATGACAATGTTCTACATCCCACTTTGGTGAGAAGTACCTGGGATATTAAAAGCTCGTGATCAGCCATGTGAGGTGCAGCTATTGGTCTCTCCATGTGTGAAAGAAAAGAAAGAAGAGTGATGAGAATTGAAGATGCTTGGAATCAACAAGTCCAATGGACTAATGGAACATGTGAACAGCAGTACCCACGACTGAGACCAGAAGAACTAGATGGTGCCCAGCTACTATTACCAACTGTCCTAAAAGGGATCACATTAGAAGATTCTGGATAGACTGGGAGAAAATGTGAAATGCAACTCAAAATTATTTAATTAAAAAATGGAAAAAGACTGGAGTTACTGGTCAGAAAGAGACTAGAGGATCCTGAGACTATGGTCCTCGACCACCTTTCAGGTCTAGAAAAGAAATTAACTCCCTAGCCCAATTTTCAGCCAAGCAGTAGGTAGGTTTATAAGGGGCACAACATTAGGAAGGTATGCTCACCATGGAATAGTCAATCATTCAAAATCAAAAGAGCAACATATGCTTAAGGACAAAGTTGAGGAGGGATAGGAAAATGGGTGGAATGCAAACAGGAACCACTGGGGAGAAGTATAACTGTTGTTGCACAGTGGGGACTGCAATCATCGAGATGAAACAAAGTGTATAATTTGTTGACTGTAAAGCTGATGATTCTTGTCTGTAAGCCTTCACTCAATTCACAAACGTTGAAAAGAAAAAAACAGAAGATAAAGAGTGACTAATAGAATATTTACAGCATGGGAGCTATGGAAATAAGACACCATGAGATTGATTCAAGAGAGTACATTAAAAATGTTGCTGTAAAACTTAAAATCATATAAAAAGAGCAAGCTTACTGATCAGCTAGAGACTGGTGGAACTTGGTCATCCTTCAGGTCTGGAACTGAACTCACTTGGCTCCATTTTCAATCAATCAATAGACAGGGGAGTTCTGGTGTGGCGCTGTGGGATAAAGCACTGGACTGCAAGGTCAGTTTGAACCACAAGGTTCAAATGTGGGTTAGACTCACCAACCATTCCTTGGAAATCCAGTACAGGGCTGATATGTCAGAACCGACTTGATGGCACATAACAACAACAGACAGGTACACAGGAGGGACGACCATGTTAGTGAGGAATACACACCACAGAACGGTCAACCGTTCAAGATCAAAAGGGCAGCATTTAACAAATTTCAAAAGGATTGGGAAAGGAAGAGGAATGGAAACACGAAGTACAGGGAAGAAGTGTAATTAGTGATGTTACATGGAGAGGATTGCAATCACTGAGATGAAACAAAGTGTAGACTCGTTGAATGTAAAACTGGTAATTTGCTCTGTAAACCTTCACTTGATTCACAATAAAAATTAAAAAAAAAAAGTTGTTGGTTGCTCTTGAGTCAATTCCATCACATGTGTAACAGAACAGAATTGCTCCACACGATCGTTTTGGTTGTAGTCTTACTGGACGATCTCCAGAGCTATCTTCTGCAGTATCGCTGGGTGAGTTCAACCACCAGTTTTTAGGTTAGCAGTCGGGGGCAGAGTATTTGCACCAACTAGAGATTGTCTCATTCAAATAATAATAAGACTTACAAAAGCTAGAATCAATCCTTCTACCACTGGATTTCAAAATCCTCTTCCGATTTCATTAACTCCCCTATAAACAACCCTCACAAAGATTGGAAGACTCAGTCTGTCATTCTGTTCTTTGACATTTACTCTTCATGTAAATAGGCTTATTCTGGGAACTTTTCTCTGGGCTCAGTTCCCAGCCCACTGTACCACGTACATGGTTATTCTGGTGCTTTGAAGTCTTCTTTTATGTATCGTGTCAATAGGTTAAACAGATACTGAGAATTAGAAAAATCCTATGTGTATCAATGAAGCAGTGGTATTTAAATCTTTCTGCTGCTGTGTTCTTCTTATTCTCAAAACATTTTCACATGTCTCATTAAAGCTGAAGCTGCTTAATTTTTCAAATTGAGGATTTGGTATATCATAAATATAAAAGTGACACAATTACAGCTTAATTTTACGTCATTAAGAATACATTTAAAAATATACAAAAATATGTATCCATTTACAGTGAGTTTTGCTGAAGCTGTAGCTTTTGTTCAATGATGTCTGAAAAACGAGGAACCTTTTTTGAAATAGCCACACGAATGTCATCAGTCACATTAAAGTGGCTTCTAGATTTTGCTTTAAAATGTAAAAGTGATGAGAATCCCAACTCACAAAGGTATGTAGTTGCGAACGGCACAAGGATTTCTAGAGCTGTCTTCGCCAGGTTTGGAAACACTGTTAACTGAGCACACCAGAAATCCTCAAGCTTCATTGTCTCAAATTCCATTAGGATTTGGCCATTAGCTCGTAATTCAGCAAGATCATTTTTCATTGAATAACCATCACTGACAAAACTCAGATTAAAAAGAAATGGATCCAGTATCCATTTACTTGCCTCAACAAGATCTCCAACAGAAAAATATCCGTGAAAGAAATTGCTCAACTGTTGCAGATGTAGTGTTATTTCGGCTGAAATGCCTGCCCCTTCGTTATCTGAAACAACAATTTCTTCAAGGAAAGGAAAGTTGGTAAAATTTCTCTTTTCAATTCGCTTAAGCCAAAATGGAAGCCTCCTAACAAAAGTAGATAATTTCTCTCTAGATGATACTGTGTTCATCCCAGTCCTTTGCATGGAGGCACTAAGTTCATTTATGTGTTTGAATAAATCTGCAAGGTACGCTAGGTGAATTTTAAACTCTTTATTTTCAAAGCCATCAACTAAATTACTGCTTTGGTGGTGAAGAAACTGATTTATTTCTTCATACATTTCAAAAACATGAGTAAGTATTTGGCCTCGGGAAAGCCACCTCATTTCAGTATGAAAAAGGAGAACATTGTATTCTACACCAATTTCTTCAAAAAAAGTCTGAAAGAGGCGATGATTTGGAGCTCGTCTTTTGATGAAATTTATTATTCTCACTATAGTAAACAAAGCATCTCTCAGTTTTGACGGCAATGTCTTTGTGACAAGTGCATGAGGGTTCAACATACAATGTGTGATCACAATATGAGGTACCTCTTTCTTCACATAGGCAACAAATTCTGAGTTCTCTCCAAGCATGCAAGAGGCACCATCAGTACAAATAGAGCCACATATCTCAAGTGCTACCTTATGTATCACAAAGAAGTCTCGGAGGAGACTGAACACATCTATTCCTTTCATGGTTAAATGCAACGGCTCACAGAATAGGAATTCTTCTATAATCTCTTTTTCTTTTACGTAGCGTACAAATGCCATTAGCTGACTGCAGCCATCCATGTCAGTTGTCTCGGCAAGCTGAATACCCACTTTAAGAGGACTAGCTTTGATATCTTCTAGAACTTGTTGTAAGATATCTCGGCTCATTTCATCAATTCTAGAATGGATCACATCATCTGATAAGGGAACCTGCTGAAGCTTCTTTTGTGCGTCTGGTCCCAAAATTATTTGTGCTATTTCCAGCGCACAAGGTTTCACTAATTTTTCAGCTATTGTATGAGGATTTTTTTCCTTGGCACATAAATATGCAAACTGATATGAGGCTTGTAACAAGGCATCCTCTTGAGACGCAAGTCCAAGTCCTTTCAAGGTTTCCCTCTGGTCACCTGGTGCTGGTACATGCTTCAGGCTGAGATCATGACCAGGTATGCCACCATGATGTCTATTAAAATGGTCAGATAGCTTTGATGGTCTGAGATCAGCATTGGAAAATACTGACCTACACAAAACGCACTGTGGGCGTTGAGTTCCATCAACCTCCGTTGCACAGGTGAACCAGTAACGAACATAATCATCATCCCATCTGCGTTTCTTCGACATGGCATTCCAAACTCTCGGGTGGTACCTCTAGATGCTGTAGAATTTTGCTTTGGGAATAAAATAAAAGCAACACATCAAAATTAGTGCCTAATCAAATTAGAGAATTATGGTGTGGTGTTGTGGATCAGCACCAGACTGTGAACCACAAGGTCAGCAGTTCAAATCCATCAGCTACTCCTGGGAAACCCTATACAGGGTAGCTACAAGTCAGAACTAAATCGACAGCACTTAACAACAACAATCAAATTTAAACAAAGCCACATCATATGCCATCCTGTCACATATCAAGAAATATCCTTCAGTATGTCAAAGCACAAAGCGCTTCTGTAGGATAAACTTTGAATCACATGATTGGTGGTTTGAGCCCACCAGCTGTTCTGAGGGAGAAAAATAAAGCTTTCTGTTTCCACAAAGATTTACAACATGGGAAAACCCTATACAGGGTCACTTTAAGTCGGAATCAACTAGACGGCAGTTAACTATATGTCAATGCAAAGTAAGTCATCACAGCATGACAGTTCAACTAAAGCTAACAACTCCTAGCTAAGTCCCTAGAATAAATGACTTGCCAGCAAATTATATACATTTTAGAGTTTAGGCAAACTTCAAAGTTACGCCTAAATTTGTTTTCCGTGATGCATGTTCTAAATCTGGCACATCCTTAGAATGAGGATCCTTTCCCTTCCATCTTGCTCCACGGACACATGCAACTGCAGTTAAGAACCAGTGAATAGAGAAAGGAGTCATTTAAGGAAGGGCATATTAGGACAAAGTGACTAGCTATTTTTTTTTTTTTTTTTAGTAGTTTAAGATTAAATACATGTGAAATTATTTTAAACTTCAGTAGTTTTAATTCCAAATTAAACACAGAATTTAAAACAGGTCTTTAAGTCTGATTATGCCATCGTTGATGCAGAGGTAAGTTACAGATTTGACTCCCAGTTTCCTTGGTGCTAGAGAGTAATGTGAAACACACCATCAGTGCATGATCACACTTGTTACTAAGTGCCACTGAGTCAATTCCAACTCACAGCGACCTTGTATAGAATTTCCAAGGAGAGGCCGGTGGGCTTGAACCACTGACCTTGCAGTTTGCAGTCCAATGTTTATACTACAGCACCATACCAAGACTCCTGATCACACTACCCATATCATAAAACCAAAATAAGGTTTGTTGGAGAAAAACTTCTACTGTTATTATTGAAACTTCAAACTTATTTTTCTCATAGAAGCACCAACTTAACTATAGTAACGAATCTCATGATGCCTTTTCATCTAACTACCCCCAAGAAATAAGCCCAAGCAATGGAATGGAAACAAGCACCCTCCTAAGGTTTGACACTTATCCCAAGAATAGGATGGAGAAGGATGTGGTTCTGTAGTTTAGTAAACGGAAGAAATCATCTGAGTTCCTGGCTAAATGTAGCTTCCTAAACTCGAATCTTAGAAATCTGACTCTCTAACTCTGGAGTTGTTGTTATTAAGTGCTGTCAAGTCGGTTCCAACTCATAACAACCCTACGTAGGGTTTCTGAGGAGCAGCTGTTAAGTTTGAACCAGCGACCTTGTGGTTCAAACCAACCTTGCATTCTAGCGCATTATCCTGCAGCACACCACACCAGTAGGACCCCAAAATCTTTATTTTAATCAAGCATTTTAGGTCATTTTTATAATATCTAGAGCAGCAACCCTAAACAAATGATGCCCATCATTATCACAGAGGACCCTTTTTAAAGTATACATGTCTTTGTACTATCTCAGAACTAAATCTGCTAGGTAGGGCAGAAGAATCGGAAATAAAGTTGTCCAGAGATTCTGATGCATATCTTAGTGAATAGTCAGATTTACAGGAGTAAGAGCATATCTTCCTAGTCAATTCCTAGGTCACAGAGATTCTAAGTTGACAAGTGAAGTACAAAAGCTTTAACACACATTTAAGTGCTGTGAGTTGACGGCAACCTCCTATGAAATTGAGGGATAAATCTAAAAAGAAAGTTATCTTTTCTCCTCCTTCTTTAACAATAAGCAGGTAGGCTTAACTGTATCTTCGAAAACATTCTATCTCCAAGATAAACAAGTGTTCACCAAAGTTTTCAAAGTTCTATTTTAGAATGTGGCTGAAATAATTTATCAGGAACACATTTAAACCCCAATGTGCACTTTGGTTTTAGCCAGAATAAGATCTGCTAAAAATATTTAAGTACTAGCTTTCTAATGGATATGCAAGATAAACTAGTTGCAAAATGTGCTTCTATGTAACTAATAAGTTGACCTACTATATGAGCCAGTTAGATACTGGGGATGTCTGTCAGTCAATAAAGAGGATCTTCAGTTTAAAGAGGTGTCCTGTGCACTATAGTATAAGCACTGGATTGCTAACCACAAGGTCGGTAGTTCATACCCACTAGCGGCTCCTCAGAAATCCTGTACAGGGTCACGATGAGTCGGAACCAACTCCATAGCACTTAACAATTAAAAAAAACAACAAATTTAAAGAACTGATTTCTTGCCTTCCTGTGTCAAGTAATGAGATGATATGGTCAGCATAAGCTTTATAGTCAGAGCTACTTCTAATTGATGACAGTAAAATTATTGCTATTGTTAAGCCATCCAGTTGGTTCTGATTCACAGCCACCCTGTATAGGGTTTCCAAGGTGCACCTGGTGGGTTTGAACCACTAACCATGTGGTCACCAGGCTAGTACTTATTGTACAGCACCTCATCAGAGCTCCTATATGATTATTGTTGTTGTTAAGTACCGCCAAGTCAGTTCCGACTCATAGTGATCCTGTATAGGGTTTCCGAAGAGCAGCTGGTGGGTTTGAACCGCCAACCTTGCAGTTCGCAGTGCTGATCCCACAGCGCCACACCAGAAGCCCTATACTATTATTAGATGAGCATAAAAAATGCTTGTCTCTTCATATTGTGTCCTGTATATTTAGTGTATATATTTTGGGGAGGAAAAAGGATGAGAAATCATTTTGTTTTAGTTTCATTAGAATGAAACTAAAGAGCCCTCTCCTATCCATCTGATTCCGCTACTCAAGTTTATCATTTTGGTTTAAGATTTACCTATTTTAAACAAGAGTTGTTTTTAACACCACCACCAACAAAAAACAGCCTCCCCCTCCCCCCAAAAGAGAACAGGTAGTAGGAATTTTCTAAATCCTTCAAAGATGAACTTACCACACAGAAGATTTTCTTGTGGTTTAGAATGAACCTCACAATTTTCACATGTTCCTTTGTGGCATTTAACAATCATAAGTTCCTAAAAAATGTAAATATTCAAAAAGCATCATATTAAGGAATTATTATTATTAAGAAAGGTATGACCATGGTATTGTGGTTGTGTTTAAATAACACCCTTTATCTATCAGAGATCAAAATCCAAACCCACTGCCTTAGAGTCAATTCAGGCTAATAGCGACCCCACAAGACAGAGTAGAAGTAAGGCTCCAAGACTGCAAAGGTTTACAGGAGCAGATAGCCTTATTGTTCTCCCATGGGGGATGCCGGGTTTTGAACTGCCAACCTTGCAGTTAGAAACCCAATTGGACATCTGGATATAATGATTACAAGTGAAATAAGATGACTAGGTTTCCTTTGAAATATTGTACTTCAAATCACACAAAATAAAGTGGAGATAGATGAATATACTGGCCTTGAGTAGGTACCTATGGAACCTGGATCATGCGCATACCATTTTCACTCTTTTCTATGTATGTCAATAAATTTCCATACTAAAAGTAAACTAGCGCAAAAATCATTATCTCTTTAAGCTGAAAAGAATCTGTTTTCAGAAAGGTTCTTTTTAAGCTTTTGAGAGAGATCTTAACGATGCTGGAAGATATAACAAAGTTAAATGATTTGGGAAGTTTATGAGGTATGAGTAGATATGAAAAAGTAATCCAAGAAAAGAATACACCAGCTATAAGTGAAACATACACATGAACAAATATTTAGAGCTGTTAAAGCAGACATTTCAACAATGAAAACATCCAAGAGCAATTGTGAATCTACAATACACTTTGAAATATGCCTAGTCCCTGCTATGTGCGGATGTTTGGAGAGCTGGAGGATTTAGTTTTTAAGTTTTACATTTGTATCAAGAAACTAGGAGAACAAGTCAAGAATGTTAGGAGTTGAGCATGCGCTCTAGAGGCAGACAGCTGGACTCCAGGCTTTGTCATTTAAGGGCTGCGAGAACTTCCCTAGCGTAAATCCCTCAAATGGAGACAATAGTTACCTACCTTATAGGGTTGTTGTGGGATTTAGGTTTGAGAATGCACGTAAAGCACACGCAGCTCTTAACTGGTAGGAGCTGTAGGTGTTAATATTACCGACGCCAAGTATTTTAGAGCTGGCTCGGGCTAGCGAAGAGCGCCAGCGGCACATCTAGAAGACCCCCGCTGTTTCCACCCGCTCATCTCGGGACCTGAGGCCAGGGAATCGAGTCAGGCGAGGCCCGTCTCAGGCTCCAATTCTGCTCTCCGCTCAGCCTGGGGTCCAGTCCCCGGCGCCTCAGAACTAGTGCAGGTCGCGGTTCTTCAGGTCCGACTCCCAAGTGAAAATCTATGAGGATCGAACAACCTCCGCCCAAGCCCTGTCAGAATTCCATCCGGGTTCCCGCGGTTGCTTCCCCCACCCTCGCTGATGGGCGAGGCCTGTCTTCGCACGCAGGCGCATTAGCAACAGGTTTGGACCCTGGCTGACTGGTGAATGCAAAGCGCACGCTAGCCCTTTCCGTTTTTAGTTTTTTAAAATAAAGGTTTTTACGTATATCTGAAGGATTTTTCAGTGATTGTGTCTGCCGGAAAGGATGCATCGTAAAATCCCAGCAATGGAAGGCATTTCCTTTTTAGCATTCAGAACACTGCAAATCACAATTTTGTTCTCCCTCTCCCCCACCTCCACTTAGATAAATTAGAGCCTGGGGATAAAATTTCCGGAGAACTGTCATCCATTTTAGGGAAAAAGAGTGTTAATTTTAAAGAAATAAACTCAGATAGGCTTTAGAGAAAATCTCAAAGGAGGAACTAAAAAATAAGACTGTTGAGAGAAACAAATCCACACACATACCTTTATTTCTAGAGTATTTTTGTTCAGAATGCCTATAATTTAAAAAATAAGTCTATCCGTTTTGTATAGTCAAATCTTGCTAGAAGCAGTCCTCATGACTGCCATTAAAGTGTGTGGTGGGAAGGGGTGCTGAGGAGGGGAGGCAAAAATATGTATCATTTGTAAGATTAAAGTCCTGTTTGAAGTTTCTGTCAGTGAAAAAAACGAAGAGATCAACTGTCCTGGCCCAGAAACTCACTCATTGACCTGTTGTCCTCCAGTTAGTTTCAACTCATAGCCACCCTATGGGACAGGGTAGGACTGCCCATAAGCTTTCCAAGGTGTAATCCTGTTGTGGTGCTGGAGGTAGGCAGAGGACTGCTAGCCACAAAGTTGGTGGTTCTAACCCACCAACAGTTCCTCTGAAACCCCATACAGCTGAGTCAAATCCAACTCAAGGCACTTAACAACAATTGTTAAGGAATTGCCCACTATTGCTTTTTCCCTCCAACTTCTCCCATTTGTAATGGGCATGTTTACCTTGTGCCCTTCTACCACTGTATTTTGGAAACAGATGATTTGCAAGATAGATTTCACAGGTTCACATGAAAAGCAATTTTGCCCCAGGACGGAATATATCTAAAGTCAATATTGATGGTTCAGAAGATAAGATTTTGGACTGAAGACTTTGGGGATAATGTGATGGGGTAAATATGTTCTGCATATAGGTAGAATATGAATTTGGGGGGGGGCAATGGTAGAGCTCTGGTAGCGTAGTGGTTACGAATCGGGCTGCGAACAGCAAAGTCAGTAATTCGAAACTACCAGCTGTTCCGCGGGAGAAAGATGAGGCTTTCTGCTCCCGTAAAGATTTACAGCCTCAGAAACACTGCACAGGGTCGCTATGAGTCAGAACCGACTCCACGGCACATAACAACAACAAATGGTGGAATGCTAGGAATTCTCCCCCCCACCCCCCCAAATATATGTTGTAATTCCTAACATCAGGCCTGTGGTTAAGAATCCCTGGTGACCCTGTGGATTAGGTATTGGTCTGCTAATCACAAGGTCAGCAGTTCAAACCTACCAGCCACTCTGCAGGAGAAAGATGAAGCTGTTTGTTCTGGTAAATATTTAGCCTCAGAAACCTTATGTAGGGTTACCTTGAGTTGTAATTGATTCAATGGCAGGGATATTTTCTATTTTTTGATACTTGTGGTTATAAACCCTTGGAGAAATGGTTTGTCTTTGTTATGTTAATGAAACAGGATCCATGGAGGGTGTGTCTTGAATCAATCTCTTTTGAGATATGAGATTAAATAAACAAGAGCCATAGCAGAGATGGGTAAAATAGATACCAGGCACACAAAGAGGCAGAAGTTCAAGAATAGGACCTTTTTACAAAGTCAACAGTCTTTCCCCTGGAGCTGACACTGAATTAAAAATTCTAGCCTCCTAAATTGAAGAATTGATACATTTGAGTTATGTGTTGGAGAAAAATATTGAAAGCACTGTAGAGTGCCAGAAGAACAAGCAAATCTGTCTTTGAAGAAGTGCAGTCCAAATAAATGCAAGGATGGTGAGACTTCAAGTCTTGTATTTTGGACATTATCAAGAGTGACCAGTCACTGGAGAAGGACATCATGATCAGCAAAGTGGAGGGCCAGTGAAGAAAGGAAGACCCAAAAGGAGACAGACTGACACAGTGGCAGTAACAGTGGGTTCAAATGTAACAATTGTGAGGAAGACAAAGGAATGGGTGTGTTTTGTTCTGTTGTGCATACAGTCATAATCAGTTGAAACTGACTCATCAGTACCAAACAGGGAAAAAAAAATGTGTTAAAGCCATCCTCTCGTAGTTCTGTTATAGTAGCACTAGATAACTAAGGCAGCCTGTTTGCTTACTGTAACAATACAGATTGTTGTTAAGTACCGTGGAGTTGGTTCCGACCCTGCACAGGGTTTCCGAGGCGGCAAATCTTTACAGGAGCAGAAAGTCTCATGTTTCTCCCACGGAACAGCTGGTAGTTTCAAACTGCCGGCCTTGAGGATAATAGCCCGATTCGATTTGTAACCACTACACTACCACAGATAGTGCTCATTATTTACCCCATGAAGTTCTTTTGAACTTTAGCTGCACTGAAAAGGCAGCTATAATTATTGAGATAACAAAACCAAAACTCAAATTAGAGCAGTACTCTAGATGTTACCTTTATTTCAAAATGCAACAGAAGTAAGATATGTATTTGGATATAACAGAACTGTAAGTAAATGAGACCTCACAAGAAGAATGAGGCCAAGAAAGTTTAGGGGTTATACTTTTTGTTGTTGTTCTTAAAAACTCATGGCATTTTCTAATAGATACTCACAGAAGCTAACTAGGCTTCCTGCCAGGTCTTTATTATCTACTCTACTACCAAATACTGGAAATAAGGCTATAAAACACTGTTACATATTCTCAAATGCATCTCTATACTGACAAAAGATAAATAAAACACAAAACAGACACCAATGTCAGGTTTTACAATGAACTCTCTTGCCCACTAAGAATATGAAAACATAAAAATCTGACGTTATTAAAGAAGAATGAAATGTTTCCATTGTTTTAATTTCATACTATTCTGAGCTGAGTCTTGATATACCGTGTATTAGCAATGTTTTTGTTGTAGTCATCAAATTGATTCTCACTCAGGGAGACCCCATCTGTGTCAGAATAGAACTGTGCTCCATAGTGTATTCAATGGCTGATTTTTCAGACCTTTATTCCATGGTATGTCTGGGTAGACTCATAACTTCAAGCATTTGGTTAGCAGCTGGTCACATTAACCATCGCACCAGCCAAGGACAAACTGATTTAGTCACTCTCCTACCAACACTATTTTTGAGATGCTGATTTAATGCAGTCTCCTTCAAGTGGTTTTTGGTAAAAAGCTAGTGAACTGTTAAATGTCCATGTGGTCATATCAGGTGTTTTTAACAGGTTGTTGTCACTGACTCTTTTCTGTATGTATTACCTTCACAATGCTCTTAGCAGAGGTCTGAGGACCATGGAAATCTCAGTTACTAAGTCTTGGTATGGCGCTGTGGGTTAATGCGCCAGGCTTTAAAGCCTTTTGAACTGCAATGTCGGCAGTTCAAGCTCACCAGCTACTCCTCGGAACCCCTATACAGGGTCGCTATGGGTCGGAACCGACTAGACAGCACTTAACAACAACAATATCCTTAAAAATGTCCTTAGTTTGTTGGAGAAACCGACTTTAGGTTTTATCTCTTGCAAATTGTATACAGAAGGCGACACCTGCTGGATATAAAGGTTAAGTACAATGGATTTCCTATAGTCTAATTTAATATTCATGAAAAAGGCAATAACGTTGAAAATAATAAACTGTATCACAAACCCATATCCTCTATGAGAAAGTAAAGGACTATTATGTCTATAAGCTCACGTCTAGAATGGTAAAACACACAGTGTTGAATGGTCTGCCTTAAAGATGATGAATTATTTGTTTACGGTTATATTTTAAATATGTCAAAGCTAACATACTTATTTCTGTTTATAAAGTAAAAGAAATATATTAAAAATCAAACTTCTAGAATTCAGATTGATACAGGAAAAAAGTTATCCACATGTTAGATTTCCTTTTAGGGATCTAAGGCCCTATACTTATAAAGTAACCGCAATTACAGAATTATTAGTAATAAAAAAACCAAACTGTTTTTGAGAAAAAGTAATCTATATTTTAAATTGTGCATGTACAAATACAAAAGGGTCAGAAACGTTGAAGAAATAAAAATTTGAAATGTGAGAACTGTTGAGCAGGTAGCAACCCAGGGGCTCTTCTCACATCACATACATAAAACTGAAATTAAAATCTGAATTGCCATTTAATGCACTTCCTCTTTATTTTGATTGGAAAGGCATGAATTTACTATGGGACTTGTGGAAGCTTTCTTAAAGTCTTACTACAGGCATTAAGAAGAACAGACAGGGATTTTTACATCTACAATTAGCAGCAAAAAGCTGAAAAGAACTTATCGGTTGTGTGCAATCCGAGTGACCTGCTATGACTCGTTACTACTGGCCAAGGAAAGAAGCCATGGGGTCATCTGGTCTCTGACGTTTCATTCTATAGGCCTCCATTTCCTCTTCCGTTGGTTCCCGAGTTTCATAAATGCTATTATAAGGCCGTTTCCGCTCATCAATTTGCATGATCTCCTTGACGTGAAGAAGGCGGGCCTCTTCTGCATTCAATGCCTGTAGCGAGGGGCAAAAATGAGTACCATGACACTACAGAACATCTCTTTTGCTCCAAAGAGGCACAGAACCAAAACATACCCTAAATACGAACTGCTATATAAAAAACCTAGACTGCTTGAAACAGCCTGGGAGTCAGTCAGTCCTCCCACTGGTAAGCTAGGGCTAACGGATGGCTGGTGCAACATTTCCAGAGCACAAAACATTCTCTGCCATTTTTAGTCAATGTTAAAGAAATCCTACTGAATTAGAAAATCTGATTAAAGTTCATTTTACTGATACAAACCCACAACTGATGTTTTGGTAAAGACTGTAATTTGATGTTTCCCAAGAATTTACTGAAAGCTAAAAATTGTGGAATTAGAAGATAAGTCTTTCTGGACAACATGTGAATAGCTTGATAACAACTTTTAATACATATTTCTTCTGTGTACTAGTGATATTTATCAAATACTTTTAAGAACTCAATTCCTAGTGCCACAAAAAACATACTTTCTAATTATACTGCCACCTGTTGCCATCAGGTTGATTCCGATCCCTAGACCCCTATAGGACAGAGAGGAACAACTGCTCCTTAGGGTTTCCTAGGCTATGAGGAATTCTTAAGAGGACACTGCCAGATCGTCTCGCCTGTTGAGTAGCTGAGTGGGCTTGAACATCTGATCTTTCCATTAGCAGCTAACATTTTAACCCCTGTGTCACCAGGGTTCCTTACTCTAATTTTAGACCTTCTATAACAACACTCCAGAAATCACCCAGACTTTGGGTTGGTTTCCTCAATTTGATAATTTGTCATTTTTACTATTTAGACTTCACAAAGTACCTTTTTCAATTTTTCACGTTTTTCTTCGCCATCACTATCTGAACTGCTCTTTCGATGCTTCTTCTTCTTCTTCTTCTTTTTCTCTTCCTTAAGTTTTTCTTGATGCATCTGAGTGGGAGGATTTAAATACAATGCTGTTAAATGTGAAAACAAACCTCTAATATAAGTCCTAAAGTCCTCCCTCCAGAACTTAGAGATCTTTAGGACAAACGATTACAGACTTACCTCCATAAGGGTTTGAGGCTTCTTCATGGACTCTTCTCCAGTTTCATCACTTGGAATACATTCCTCTGCATTCTGTGTAATGACATATGAGAAAATAAAATTGTTTTGTTTGTTTGAATTCCTTATTGTGAATTGGCTGAAGCTCTATAGAGCAGATCAGTTTCCATTCAACAATTTATATGCATTTTGTTTCATGTCATTAATTCTAATTCCCGCAATGTAACATCACTTATCCCACTTCCTCCTTACATTTCCTACTTCCATTTCTCCTTCTTTCCTCATCCTTCTGAACTTTGTTCTGCGGTAAATGCTGTCCTTTTGATTTTAATACTTATAATGCCTGATTATTCTAAGATGTGCATACCTCACTAGTACTATTGTTTCCCTTTTAGGTCTGTCTGTCCTTTGGCTGAAAACTGAGTCAAAGGGGGTGAGCTCACATCCAGACCTGAAGGGTGGTTGTTGTTTGTTGCTAAGTGTCCGAGTTGGTTCTAACTTACAGCGACCCTGTACAGGGTTTCCAAGGAGCAGCTGGTGAGTTTGAACCACCAACCCTGCGGTCCAGTGCTTTATCCCAGTGTTATGCCGGAACTCCTGAAGGGTGATTAAGGACCATAATTTCAGGGGTTCCACAAGTCTCTATCTGCTCAATTGTTGTTGTTAGGTGCCACTGAGTCGGTTCAACCCATAGCGACCCTTTATAGGGTTTCTGAGGAACAACTGATGAGCTTGAACCACTGACCTTGAGGTTCAATTCAAACTAACTTTGCAGTTCAGTGCTTTGGTTCTGAATTTTATTCCACATTTTCCTCCCACTCTATCCAGGACATTCCAATGGGCTCCCTTTCAGAGTAGTAGTGATGGTAGGCAAGCACCACCTAGATGTGGTCTCAGGGTTGTGGAAACTAATGTTGGTGTGTTCCATTGGTTCATTGCACTTATTGCTCCAGTAGGATGTTGAATTTGGTTTTATGGACTATGTTACGCCTGTTGATCTTAGTGCTCCCTGAAACTATGGTCATGAGCTCCCAGGCCCAGTAACTCATTCCCTCAACATTTGGTTATGTCTTAGGTCTCCAGTAGGTTCTACCACTTTCATGGACTTATTAGCAGCAATGGTAAATACTCATGAATAAACATCCTGTGTAACATATATCCATTGGTGGGTATATGCCCACTCTCCCTCCCACACCCACACAGCCCGTGTGTCTGTCTATCCCTGCATCCAGTCATAATCACCACTATAGCAGGACTACAATACATTAATTTGACTTGAGTGTTACAGCTACCAATCATCAAAGGAAAAGTTAAAATTTGAAACATAAGAAATTATACTGAGTTTGACTTCAAAGAATTTTAGGCAGTTTTGCACATTTAAGAAGCAGGTGATAAAAGTACTTACAACAATCTCCTTCCCAGCTTCTCCAGTACAGTAAGAATACTTGACAAAAGAATGACAGCATTTGTATCCCCATCGGCCTTCTTTCCAGTAAGATCCCCAGATATGCTGAAAAGAGAGAGGTGTTACTTTAAGAGGTACCTGAGAAGTGGGTACTCTCATACGTGGTGGGTAGGAAAACAAAACAATAAAGTCCGTTTAAAAGGTAATTTCAGAGGAAAAGAACAGAAAGAACAAGGCTGACTAACAGGAGAGGGTAGCTGGGCATTGGGTGTGAAAAGCAAGCACTATGGTTGCAATGGGTATTACAGTCTAGTCCTATTAATCTATAATAAACACACACACATGATAATAATTGTTTTTTCCTGAAAACTTTACAAGGGTTGGGAAATCTTCAGCCTACATTCCCACGTGGCAATAATTGGCCATTGTAGAACAGCAGATGACATCAGACAAAATCTGTGTTTTCCAGTTCGTTCAATTTGCCTTGTCCATTTCACTCATATATGTTACTGGGCTGGCTCCTATAGGCAGCTGAATTTTTTACCTCATTGTATGCTTTTAGATATGATGTAATATGAAACATCCCACATCAACTATGAAGCATTTTTGACAAAAACATTTAATTCATATCTAATTAAGCATCCAGTCTCGATGTCAGAAGAGACTTTGAAACTTGCTCTTGATAAAGTAAATGGAAGAAATTGGGAAGCAAAAGACCTGAAGACATAGTCAAGTATTATAATGAAATATAATACTTATATTTAATTGTATATGTATTATATACAATAATCATAAACATTTGATGTTCAACCATTTCAAGAGGTAGCATATGATCAAGAACCGATGGTACTAAAGGAAGAAGTCCAAGCTACAGTGGAAAGGCACTGGTAAAAAACCAGGCTCCAGGAATTGATGGAATACAAACTGAAATCTTTTAACAAACTGATGCAGCACTTGGAGGCACTCACTCATCTATGCCAAGAAATATGAAAGACAGCTATCTGGCAAACTGATTGTAAGAGACCCAAATGTACACCCATCCAAAGAGGTGGCCCAATGGACAATATCATTAATATCACATGCACGCAAAATTCTACTGAAGATAAAAACAAGCAAACATACAAAAAGGACCATTGCAATAGTACACTAACAGGGAAAAAGTTCAAGATTTGGAAGAGGACATGGAACTAGGGATATTACTGACATCAGAAGAACATCAGGCTGAAAGCAGAGAATACAAGAAAATTGTTTACTTGTACTTTATTGACTATGCAAAGGCTTTTGACTGTGTGGATCATGGCAAACTAGGGATAACAATGTGAAGAATGGGCACTCCAGAACACTTCATTGTGCATGTGAGGAGCCTGTACTTATACCAAAAGGCAGATGTTAGAACAGAATATGGGGATATTGAATAGTTTAAAATCAGGAAAGGTGTGTGCCAGGGTTGTAGTCTTTCACCATACTTATTCAATCTGTATGCTGAGCATGTACTCCAAAAAGCTGGATTATATGAAGAAGAATGTGGATGGAAAGAAGACTTATTAACAACTTACAATATGCAGAAAATACAACCTTATTTACTGGAAAAGAAGAGGATTTAAAATACTTACTCATCTTCAGTAAGAATTGTATTTCAATGTAAAGAAAACAAAAATCCTCACAACTGGACCAATAAATAGCATGATAAGTGGAGGAGTGATTGAAGTTGTCAAAGACTTTAGTCTGCTTGGATCCACAATCAACACTCCAGGAAGCAGCAGTCAAGTAACGAAACAACGTATTGCAATAGGCAAATCTGCTGCAAAGGACCTCTTTAAAGTGTTCAAGAACAAAGACTTAAGTTTGAAGACTTAAGTGTGCCTGACCCAAGCCATGGTATTTTCAGTAGTCTCACATGCATGTAAAAGTTGGACAGTGGATAAAGAAGACTATAGAAGAACCAAAGCATCTGAATTATGGTGTTGGAGAAGAATATTGAGGATACCATGGACTGCCAGAAGAACAAATAAATCTGTGTTGGAAGAACAGTCAGAATGCTCCTTAGAAGCCAGGATGGTGACACTCTGTCTCTATACTTCACACAGGTTATCAGCAGGGACCAGTCCCTGGAGGACATCATGCTTGGTAGAGGGTTAGCGAAAAAGAGGAAGACCCCCCAACAAGATGGATTGACAACAGTAGCAACAGCAATAGGTTCAAATGTAACAGCAACTGTGAGGATGTACACGACCTGGCAGTGCTCCTTTCTGTTGTGCATAGGTCACTATGACTTGGAACAGACTCGAGGGTACCTTACAACAAGAACAACAGTAACTAGACATTCAGACCTAAAATCCCATTTATACAGAATACAAGAATAAGTTATGAAGCCATAAGGAAATAGTCAAATACAGAACATGAGACTTCAAGGTAACTGGGCTGAGCTCTTCAATGGTCAATGCCAAGAAAAAGGGGAGAAATGTTTTAGAAAACAGAGACTAGAGAACATAATATCCAAATAGCAATTAAACTTTTGACTTGAAATGTACTGCTATTAATAAGAAGGCATTTTGGGGTCTATTCTGGAAAATGTGATTATGGGTCACATATTAAGATGGTATTAGAGAATTAATGTTCACTTTCCGAGATGTGATTGTGTCACTATGGTTATGCAGTGTAATATCTTTATTTTAGGAGACATGTAATACAATGTTTATGGGTGGAATATAATGATATCTGTAATTACCCAATATCCCAGTATCTTTTTTTTTCTTAAATAAATACAAAAAAAAAAAAAAATAGAAAAAATATGTGAGTGCGCATATGCGTATGCTAAGTTATCTCAGCATATGTTCACATACACACACAGACAAAGCATATTTACTAAAACGTTAAAAGAATTCTGAACCTAGGTGGTGGATATGCAGGCAGCTATTGTAGTTGTAATATTCTTATTTTTACTATTTTTTTTAAAAGTTGCATGATACAAAGTCAAAATTCTAAAAAAGAAGAAGAAAAAAAAGCATAGCAATGACTAAGTAATGTGTTATAATAGAAAATGCAACCCAGAATAAAATGCTACCAAAGAGACAAGAAGGTTTCGGTTGAACACATACCGTGTGATTGTTGATCTTCACATCTTCCTCATATTTGGAGGAGGCAACAGCTCGCTCCTGCCCTTTGATGACAGTTCCATGTCTTGAGTACTCCACATAGTCCTCAGTCTGAGCTAAAAGCAATTCAGCTGGAGGGGCATCCAGGTGTTCTTGGCCACCATACTAAAAGGAAACAGTGTGCTATTAAAGAAATTATAAATAGATTTGCATTCCTATCTCTGCTGAAGGGTTTATTACCCATCAGAAAGACAAAAGGAACATTCTTTGAGAGGCTTTGTCTTAAAATCACAGTGAAAATAAAAACCAGAAAACAGAACACTAAAACGCCACCAAATTTTATAAGCAAATAAAGTCAGTCTCAGGTGTGATTCACCTGTTGAGTATGGCAGGTTAAAAAAAGCCATCAATTCCTTTTATCCCTTTGTGCATGACATTTTGCCACATGACTATACTACTCTTCCATTAAGAGGACTCTATTTCTCCACCCCTTGAATCAGGATTTGGCCATGTTACTTGCTTTAGTCAATGGGAAATTGGTATGATACAAGTTAAGGATGAATAGCACTTGCGTATTATTGTTGTTATATAGGTGTCATCGAGTTGGCTGTGACTCAGTGGCATGCACTCTGTTGCTCTTCTCTGAGCTGTCCATATAAAGTAGGAGTAGGAGGGACTAGTCTACTGGAGAATGAGTGCTGAAATGAACTATCACAGATGAATCTCTCTTTGGACAATTAGCCGGCTAACTGCTAAATACCAGAATGAAGCCACCATACTCCATACAGACCCACATCAGGAAACCCCGTTGACATACAGAATCAAGAGAAGTTATACATGTTTATTCTAAGCTACTAAGTTTTGGAGTGGTTTGGTTTCCTATAAAAGCTAAATGATATCTGATCTGAATTCCCATCTCTTTGGGTCCCTGTCTTCATCATCGAAAGTCTCCACCTGCTAAGTGCCATACAGGAGCCCTACTGGTGCAGCAGTTAAGCACTTAGCTATTATCTGAAGTATTGGTGGTTTGAGGCCATCAGCCTCTCTGTGGGAGAAAGATGTGGTAGTCTGCTTCTGTTAATAAGTTTCTAACAACTGATTAAGTAAGACAATGGGAAGGAAGGGATATTGGAATATTCCTCATAGAATAAAAGGGACTCTCTCTATATTGCATTCCAAATGGAAAACACATGCTTGTTACCTAGTAACTGCTATTTAGTATCATTCTTCTTTTAGCATTTTGTCAACATTACCTTTTCCAGGATGCTTTCTTTCTGCTGTTCTTTGAAATCTTCTTTTTTAACTTTGAATGATTTATATAAAAGCTCTAGTTTTGTAGGATCTGCCTGCAGATGCACTTCAGAACCCTTGTCATAGGCTTCCCAGGCAAACACTAGAATCATCAAAAACATTCACCTCAGTGGCCAGACATATTTGTCACATCCTTCTTAAAAGTCAGCTTAAAATAATGTTTCCAAATGTATTAACAAGCTAATAAAAAAAGCCTTAATATGAGAGCACTTACGTTGTGTCTGAGCCATTGAGATGGTATCCCCCGTGTAGCGAACAAAGTTATCTCCTGCATAACTAACTCTGCAGACACAAATTTAAAACAAATGGTTCAGAGAAAGTGTTTTCTTTTAAGAAAAGTTCATTCTTTTGTGATCCAATCATACATGACATTCATTTTAATTAAGATTTAGTTTTATGCTTAAATCTTCCTTTCTTCATCTTGAAATTTATAAATTTAACTTTATACTTACTCATCTGGATTCTTTCCTGCATTGGCATAGGGATTCTCTCTCATTGCTCTAGTTTTGGGATCATAATAAGCAGAATTTGGATCTAAATTTCGTAAATACTAGAAGAAAAAAAAAAAAAAGGTTAAAGACTACATTAATATTTACTCATAGCAAAAAAGATTTCAATGTATTAGTAGAAGAGTTGCTTATGATATATTAAGTTGGTAGGTGCATATCTGGGGTACAGATGATCTTGGTACCTAATCTTTAAATAATTCTGACTATAATATCCATATACTATATGAGTGGACAAAATTTAGGTTAAAAAAAAAAACACAAATGTTTTTCAAATAAGAATATTAGGTTGACAAGACATACTTTTGCAATATCTTCTCTAATCCTGAGATTTCGGACAGTAATTCGTCTCTTAGAGTCAAAATTCTGTCCTGGCATGTCAATATCATCTGCATATTTATCTTCATCCTCATCTTCACTATTATGTTCTTTTTCCTAAGGAAGAGAGAGAGGAAAACCATTAGAAAAAAAAAGATGAACATTTCGTTTGTTTCCTTTTCATTTCCCTTTAACCAAATGATTATTCACGTGTGTTATTTACTGATACAGGTCAAGGGACGGATTCATATTAGCCACTAGAAATTTAAAATTTTAATGATTACCCAAGTAGAGAAAATATTTATTACCGTCTGAGAATTTGGTTCTTCCTCTCCCCACTGGTGTTTTGGAGAATTCTGCATCATGAAACAAAGAAAAGAATTTACACTGGTAATTCACTAAATCAACTGATTAGTTAACACTTTAATAACATACTTAAGGGAACTTAATTGTAACTGAACAAATTCTCTTATTTCTACCATAATGAGAACAACAGATGTTCTGAATACAAGTATGCCATCCTGAATGGCATATAAAGTCAGAAAATTTCTACAGAATTTTCATTGATTTTGGATTATAATCACATGAAGATACCATGAAGATTAAGATGACCAATAAGGAGCCCTGGTGGCACAGTGGTTAAGTGTGGAGTTTACTACTAACTGAAAGTTTGGAGGTTTGAACCCACCAGTGGCTCAGCAGAAGAAAAGCTCTTGCGATCTGTTCCCATAAACACTGAAGTCTAGAAAACCCTATGAATAGTTCTGTCTGAGTTAGAATAAACTCAAGAGTACACAGGAAGATATATAAATAATGAATTAATAGGTCAATTATATAAAGCTGTATGTACAAGAGTCATGGTATTGCCTATAAATGCAAAATATAGGGTGAAAAATAAACTGTAATGATAGAGGATTGGTAATCTAATTTATGACACACAATGAACACTAAGAAACTATTTAAAAGTGATCCCATTAAAAGAGACCTACATAAATGGAAAAATATGCTAATGGACAGAATGACTAAACACTGTGAAAATGTCAATATCACTCGGTGATCTATAGCTATAATGCAACCCAATTCAAATTTTTAACATTTTTAACAAAGTGGAAAAACTAATCTACAATTTTATATGGAAAAGAAAGAGGCCCCAGATAGCTAAAGTATTATTGGAAAACAACAACAAAGCATGAAGCCTCACATTTACCTATCTCAGACCCTACTATACAGCTACCGTAGTCAAAACAGCTTGGTACTGGTACAATGATAGACACACAGAACAATGGGACAGAACTGAAAATCCAGAAACGAATCCATCCAGCTATGGACAGCTGATTTTTGACACAAGTCCAAATTCCATTAAATGGGGAAGAGATAGTCTATTTAATAAACGATACTGGCAAAACTGGGTATCCATTTGCAAAAACAGGAAACAGAATCCATATTACACACCATAAACAAGAACTAACTCAAAATGGATCAAAGACCTACATATCAAACCTAAAATTATAAAGTTCAAGGAGCAAAACATAGGAACAAAGATAGGATACTACTTTATGGCATGAATAGACTATTATATATAACTAAATATTCAGAAACAGAAGATAAACTAGAAAACTAGGAGCCCCTGCAAATTAAATACTTATGTTCATCAAAAGAGTAAAAAGAGAGACTATAGACTTGGAAAAAAATTTTGGCAATGATATATTTGATACACATCTACTATCTAAAATTTGTAAAAATTTTAACACCTCAAAATAAAAATCTACAATGAGATACCTAGCATCTCACCCCCTAGAAATAATGATACTAATCAAAGAAGCAGAAAACAACAAATACTGGTGAGGTTGTGGGGAGATTGCTGGTAGACTATGGAAAATGGTATGGCACTTTATTAAAAGGCTAGAAATAAAAATACTTTATGATACAGCAATTCCATTCCTAAGTAGATGTATAAAACCTGTGACAAGAATAGACATCCGCACACTCAAGTTCATTACAGCATTATTCACAATAGAAAAAGATGGAAACAACCTAAGTGTCTGTCAATGTATGAATGGATACATAAATTGTGGCACATACAAACAATACGCCACAATAAAGAATAATGATGAATCTGTGAGACATCTCACAACATGGATGAATCTAGGAGACACCGCACTGAATGCAATTAAGTCAGTCAGAGAAGGCTAAATACTGTGAGACTACCATTATAAAAACAGGTTTGCTCACAGAAAGAAACATTCTTTGATGGTTAGCAGGGACGGGAGGGGATAGGAAAGAGAATTGCTATCTAGATAGTGGTGTTGTTGTGTACCATCGAGTCAGTTCCGACTCACAGCAACCCTGTATAGCAGTGGCTGGTGGGTTTGAACCACCAACCTTGCAGTTAGCAGTCCAGTGCTTATCCTACAGTGACACCAGAAGACACATATTCATTCTGGTGAAGAGAAAGACAATAAAAATACAGGGGAAGTTAGAACAATATGAACAAGGCAGAGGAAGATACTGAGAGAGATACAAGAACAAAGGGCACTGTAGGATAAGCACAGTACCACAAGGTTAATTTGAGCCACAAGGTCAGTGGTTCAAACTCACCAGCTGTTCCTCAGAAACCCTATACTGGGTTGCTGAGTCAGAACCAATTCAATGGCACTTAACAGCTACATCAATGATAAGCACTGAACTGCAAATCACAATGCACCAGTTCAAAGCCACCAGCAGCTCCGTGGGAGAAAAATGAGGCTTTCTGCTCCCTCAAAGATTAACAGCAGTCACTATGAGTCAAAACCAACTTGACAACACTTAACAACAACAACAAACAAAAAATACTATAAACACATAAAATCCTGCAACAATAGTTGTTGTCAGGTGCCATTGAGTCGGAACTGACTCATAGCGACCCCATGCACAGCAGAACGAAACAATGTCCGATCCTGGGCCAACCTCACTACCGCTGCCACACTTGAGGCCATCAATGATGCTACCTGGCCAATCCATCTCGTTAGGGGTCTTCTTCTTTTTCTCTGACCCTCCACCTTACCCAGCATGACATCCTTCTCCAGTAGTAACAAAAGTAATAACAAACAATTTGTGAGTGGATACATATACAGATATGTATGCTAAATAGGTGTGGGAGGTCACATAGCACTACCTCCATGTGCATATAATGGTATATGGATCTTTTAGTTTACATATTTCAATGTACTGCATGCATATCCATATATATAATAGTGCACAAAGGGGACACAGTTATGGAAACTTTTTAGACAGAACCAAATACCTTGCAGGACTGAGCTCGGTTTAAAGGCATCGAAACAGTCTCAGGAGACATCTAGAGAAACTGGCATGATATAATTCATAAAGATTATGTTCTACATCCTAGCTTGGTGAGTATGTCTGGGATCTTAAGAAATTGCAAAAGGCCATCTAAGATACAACTACTTGTCTCTTCCTGCCTGGAGCAAAGGAAAGCGATGGAAACTAAAGACTCAAGGAAGTGATTAGTCTGAAGGATTAATGACTCACACGAAGCATTGCCTCCTCTTACTTAAGACCAAAAGAATTAGATGGTGCTTGGATAGCAATTACTGACTGCTCTGACCAGGAACACACTATAAGGTGCTGAGCAGAATGGGTGGAAAATGTAGAAAAAAAGCTCAAATTCATAAAAAAAGACCAGACTTATTGGTCTGATAGAGACTGGAGGAACCCTCAAGACTGCTGCCCTAAGTCTCCTTTCTAACTTGGAACTAAAGCCACTCACAGAAACTCCCTCTCAACTAAATACACTGCTCTGTGAACTAAACAGTAACAATCATGAGGAACATGGTAGTGAGAACAATCAACTACACAAGACCAAAAGAACAACATATGTCCACAAGCTAAGATGAGAAGGCAGGCAGGAGCAAGGAATCAGGTGAATAGAAATAGGGACTACAGGGTGGAAATGGGAAGAGAGCTGACATATTGCAACCAATGTTATAGAACAATTTATGTATCAATTACTGAATGGAAAACTAATTTGCTGTGTGAACTTTCGCCTAAAGCACAACAAAATGTTTAGAAAACAAAACTAACAAAAAAACAGTTTCCTATCCAAGGTGCTAGAGAATATGTACAAGATGTTGCTACTTTTTTTGAAAAACAAAAATGAGGGTAAGAATAAGATTATATTATTTATATTGTTAATAATTATATATTAGCAATCCTTAATAGACTCACAAGCAAAATAAAAACAGTTATTGGACATGTTTTATGTCCAATTTTATGTCACAGTTATGGGGCCTGTAGAGAGATGGAGTGAATACAGGCAGGAGAGGGAAACTTTTCACTGTATACTTTCTTAAATTTTTAAAAAATTTTTGAACCATGTGATATTATCTAAAATTAAAAAAAAATACGACAGGCTGTACATTTAATGACACAAAAATAGGTCTTCATTCTATTACATACAAGGGGGCTTCAAAACATTCATGAAAAATGAAATGAAATGATAATGGAATTTTTCCACCATCTTTTTGAAAAAGAAGACCCCTTGAATTGTTCAATTAGAAGAGCAATGAACATATGTACGCATAAAGATTTTTATGAATCCTTGAAATTATTTTTGGATGGATGAATCTAGTAAATTAAATTGAGAAAGAATAGATAACTATTTCATGGCACTACTCTTTCTCCAAATGACTCCATCAATCTATATTCCCATCAACAGGATTAAAAGTATCAGTTTTACTCTTCCATTTCAGCAACTCTTCTCTCTAAAATTCTTTCCAACTGACCAGCTAAACAACATTAACTGTTTCATTTTTTCACTTCTTTGATTACTAAGAGTTTAAAATTTAAAACAATTGATTGCTTTCATTACTCACAGCCTGTTCCACTAATTTTCCTGAGGCTAATTCTTCTTGTAGTTTTTGGGCTTTCAGCGTTCGTTTTGCCTAAAAAACAGAAACATTTAAAATTTACTTACAATATTCAAATGGCCATTTAACTTTCATACATTTAAAAAGTATAACTTGATTACTTTCAGAAAAGGTCACTGACCAAAATAATCTCATTACGATTCCTCTAGCTCTAAAATTTATGACTGTCTTGACATTGACCCTAAAGTAATGTTGAGACGATTAGGAGGGAAGGGAAGCTAGATTAGTGGAAACAGAACAAACAGAATAGAAATAATGAGAATGTTGAATGTTAGGATAAATGAAAAATCAACATTTATCCTAAGATCTATGACTGTCTAGAGAACAGGGGTTGTAAACTTCTATTTGGGCCCAGCAGGTAGTGTAGACTGAGCCAGATAGCATCAGTTCAATTGCAGAGAGCAATTGCAGTAAACCACCTGACTCCAGATGACTGACTAATGGCAGGCCCAGGCTAATAGGCATCTATTTCAGTACTCAAGAAAAGGATGAAATCCAAATTTTTATGTGACATCTCAAGAATTTTAAATGCTAAGTCAAATTTTAAAATAATGCAGTATGACTTTAGTTTTAAAGGAATGGTGAAGTCATAACAGAAAATAATGAAGCTGAATTAAAATAAATCTAAATTCTCTAGAACAAGTGTTGTGCGAGACAAATAAAATAGGTACATGGGCAAGATACAGTCTACGGGTTACAAAGACCTAAAGTCAAAAGCTTTGGATACTAAGCTGTTTTCATGTTTCCAGTTAATTTTACAACCTAAGAAAGTAAAGAACAATAAATGAATCAAATGAAAAGAAACTCTTGAAAATAGGGTTAGCACATTTTTATTCTTTCACTACTCAATGAGGTCCACTAGTAGTAGTATACAACTGCCTCTATTTTTATAATGCTTTAAGACTAAAAAATTAAGAGTTGCTAAATTACAAACACAGCAGAGAGTAGATTCTTTAAGGATAATAGAAAAGCAGGCACTTTTGCTGACCAGATCAACTTTGGCATATTCTTCTACAATTGTCATGTGTTCTTCTGGATTGTAGCCATTCCACCGATCCCTCTTCCCATCGTAGTCAAACGTCAACTGAGGTTGGACATGCTCATCTGGAGCAATATTAGTACCTGTAAATTTTGCTCCAACTCGCCTAGGTCGCTGAAAGACAGACGAAGAATTAATTTTTCTTAAGTACTGGCAATTCATAGCAAAATATCATAAAATTTTTACAGAGCTGGAATAAAAATAGATTTTTATGGTCAAATCAATTATCACTGAAACTTCAGCAGAAATTTTCTGATGGTACTGAACTAAGTCGTTCATATTAATTTTTATTTAACTTATACCCAAATATAAGTAGTTTAAAAAAAAACAGAATTAAGCTGTCTGATAAGGAGAAAAGAAAGGAAGACGCTGGTGGTAATTTCCAAAATTCTCAAAGGCAAACTTACCTCAAAGCAATCTTTCTTTTTATGTGTCATGGCCCCACAATTTTCACATGCTCCTTTGCGATACTTAGTAGTTATGGAATTCTATACATGGATATAAACAAAATCATTTTATTTATCTGAATAAGTTAGAAATAATGTTGGCTCTCATTACTATGTTATCTAATGAAATCATTTATTTCTTAAGAGGAAAAACCTTTAAAAGTCTCTCTACATTTGTAAATGAAAAAGTTGAAGAATTATAGCAGTATTAAATTTGTAAAAGAAAACCCAGAAGCCACAGTAGCATGTGTGAATTTCAATGCCAGATAAAGGATTATATAATCTGTTTCAGCTTTATACACTATTGCACTAACAGTTCTTGTACTAAATTCTTAAAATTAAATTTCTACATAAGCAAAGACATATGCCTACACACCTCTTTTACACCCCTCTTGTACCATTCTCCAGAAGAACTATATTGCCTTTGTTTCTCTGGCTGTGGTCTTTGATGCTTTAATGTAGGTCTTTTTGATGGATCAATATACCATGGTACTGAAGAAATATATTGAGG